ATTATACATTTCACATAATGACTTTTGTGCCAGTAAATTTAAGTCAAAAGTTCATCATCGAAACTAAAAAAATAAAGAAGGCAACTCTTCAATAAATTTACGAAATTTTAACTTCATAAAAACGACTACATCAATCGAAATTGATAAACTTCAATGCTTATGAAATGCTTGTGCAATATAGAAAAAGCGTGTTAGAACAAGTGAATATGTAGGGCAATAAACACTGCAGTAGGCGTTTACAGCATAAAAAAGTTTTAAGAATCTTTTCACACAAAAATGCAATAGACCATTCTCAATTTTTCAAATTTTGTTCGGGTCTGTAAGTATGCCTACCGCTATAATATTGTGAAATAATTTAACATAATTTTCACCTGTAACATAATGTATATAGGGTTTCATCTATGTGTTAAATCAGTGGCAAATAATTTCTCTTCTAAGCCATACTCTGCACACAAATTTTTAAATACTTATTTTCTTGCTAGTAACACAGTAATAGAATTTATTACTTGTCTAACTATAGCCGGATGGAGTACTTGAACTATTCATAAATTTGGTTAATCTTATCATTGGTAAAATCCATTTGTGGCTATGTAGCAAAAGATATTGAATATTAGAGTAAAAAAAAAATTGAATTTTAGAGCAAAGAAGTTGGAGATTGAGGTTGAAAAATAGAACACTGTGAGTTATGAAACCTAAAATCTTATATCATATTTATAGCAAAAAAATTATGCATGTTTCTTCTACAAATTTTGAATTTCAAATTCAATTGAAATTGATGTAAAAATTGCTCGTTTTAGCAGCTATAGCTGCTTGCGCATTGCAGGAAACTACAGTTACCAATATTAAAGGCATAGGCAGCTATAGCTGCATGTATTAAAGGCAGCACAGCTAGGGATGTCAATTTAGCTCGGGCGAACCGTGGCTTGAACCAAGAAAAGCCCTAGTTGGGTTCGGGTTAAGCCTCATTTTTGGGCATAGGCCCGAGCCCATGATGAGCCACATAAACACATGCCAAAATTGAAAAATGGCAGTTGTAGTTGCCTGCATTGCAGGCGACACTTGAGTAGCTACAATTCCTGAAGGCTTTAAAACAAGCAATTGTTACATCAATTTGAATTTGAAATTCAAAATTTGTAGAAACAGACATTTTTTTGTCTATAAATATGAGGTAAAATTTTGGTTTTCATATCAACTTACTTCAACAATATTGAACTTGCAGTATTTTATTTTTCAACTTCAATCTCTAATTTTTTGCTCTAATATTCTATTTCTTTTGCTCTAATAAGCACAAATGGATTTCTAGTGATGAGAGTAGTTTGAGTACTCCATCTAACTACGATTAGTATCTTTTGCTCAATCCAACTATAGATAAACAATAAATTTTATTATCATGTCAACAACAAGAAAATAAGCATTTAATAGTTTATGTACAGAGTATGACTTTGAAGAGAAGTCATTTACCGCTAATGCAATACATAGATGAAACTCTACATACTTTATGTTATAGTCGCGTAAAAATTAAGTTAAATTTATTTCACTATATTATAATGGTTGGCATTCTTATTGTCCCAAACTTAATTTGGAAGATTGGAAAGGGTTTATTACATTTTGTGTGAAGATATTCTTAAAACATTTTTTATGCTACAAACGCCTACGGTGATGTTTAATTATCTTGCTTCACTTGATTTACAATGCTTTTTTACATTACACAAACATTTCATAAGTATAGGAGTTTGTCAATTTTTGTTAATGTAATCGTTTCTATGTAGTTAAACTTTCATAAATATTAGAAAGAGTTGCCCTGTTTATTTCTTTTAGCCTCATTGATGGATCATAAACTTAATTTAGCTGGTACAAAAGCTATTATAAAGGAAATTTCAAATTTTATGAATGTGGAATTATCACATGTAGATATAGAAACAACATTATGTGAAATGTATAACTATGATATTGAAAAAAGATATCAGAGACTTCCGAATGTGCTTTTTCAAGAAATACTTTAACAAATTCGGATGATATATGAAATTGTTTGGACACCAATTCAAATGTTCCCTTATTTAGTTTTAGTTCATACATATTTAGAGCGATAAATGTTAGCGGTAAAATTTTTGAAATTTTATCTGAGTTAACTAGGTATATGTGTGTAGATTTTCATATTGTACTACAACTAAAAGATTACTGGATGTTAGTCTTTTATCATGGTGGAGGTTTAACTAAAGGCAATGTTCAATTGTGTCAAAAATTGCACATAATATAAAAATACTTTCGGTGTTTATAATAGTATTGGAAGCTGCATTTAGTTTAGATGGTCAAGTTTTATCAAACAAACAATCAAGGTTAAAAGCAGATATATTAAAAACTCTAATACGCTTGAAGGACTGGGAAGTTGATAGTATAATGGCCGAGAGTTGAAGTTAATATTGTAAATTTTTAAATTGATTAGTTTTAAAAAAAATATATGTAATTTTTAAATTTATTTGTTTCAAAAAAATGGTACATGAAATATTTTATTCGTATACAATTTTAACTCCGTGTCTAGTTTATTTTAACCATTCCAAAGTTGAAAAATGAGAGTTGTAACTTTTATTTATGTAAATTGCACAAATTTTATATTATTTAAAATTTTTTTAGAATGTCACGAATTTCTAAAAAAGAACCAGCTTAATAAGGTTTGAGGTAAATGCTCAACCCGAGCCTAGATTTTTTTACCGAGCTTTTGGTCACCTCGCCTTGGGCAAAAAAAGCTTAGGTCATTTTTTACCCGAATTGGCTCGGCTCAACTTGTTTACACTACAACTGCCTTTTTCTTTTTTGTAGCGGGGAATAGTAGCTGCCTGTTTTATCACGAAGTGTTGTTATGTCTGTACAACTAGAATCGTGCGACCTTAACATTTCACAATTCCCGTCCTTCACAAAAAAACACTCACAAATAATTTAACCAATCAAGCTAAATTATAACAACTTTGAGTAAAGAATTTGAACTAAGAAATATAAGGAAAACAAGTAAGTTTTGAGAAAGCTCTCTCTGTACATAAATGAAAGGAAAATTTTACAATCTCTCTCAAGTATTTAACTCACTTCACTCTTAATGATTTACAAATAAGACTACATCTCTATTTATAAGCAAAATCTTTCAAGTTGTCTTGGAATCAATGGCCAAGAATAATTTTTATCCAAGGGTCCTCATTGTTTGCAAGTTGCAATAACCTCCTTTGTGATCAAATGGTAATTCTCTACACTTCCATATGCAAGTTGCATGTCACTTTCTAACCTCATGCTAGCTGGCATCAAGTGGCAAATTTCTACAATTCACGTACAAGTGGAGAACTTTCATAGTAGTCAAATTGAACTCTGCTTCCTTCTTGGCGTTATCTTGCAAGTGGGGCAAGCGGTGCAAGTCGGCCCCATTGTGTCCCCCCAAAATATTCGACCTCAGTCCATTGTATTTCTCCTTTCCAAAATAGCAGTTTTTGACTTAGAGAAACCTCATTTCTGTGTTGGGAAAGTTGCCTGCCAAAATAGGTTGCCTGAGTTCCCTACCGCAAGTAATTCCATTCTGTCGAAGTGCGTTGCCTGTGCTGTTTTGCGGCCACTGCCAGGACAGATCGAATGCGACTTGGGGTAAAGTTACTCCCCCACCAAATTTGGCGATGCCCTCGTCACCGTGTAACGTCGAAGCTCGGGGTCAAATTGCCATAAACCTCTTTCGTTCTCCCAAGTAGCTTCAGATTCGGGCAATTCCTTCCATTTTACTAAGTATTGGGTGCAAAGGGGAACACCCTATCTCACTACTCGATTCACCAAAATGGACTCAACATCTTTCTCGAAAGATTTTGTGATGATGGGAGGCTCCTGTTATGATTTGTTCCTCAGATCTTCCAAGTCCAGCCTATATGGCTTCAACATGCTTAGATGAAAATTCGGGTAGATCTTCAAAGTGCTTAGAAGATCTAGCTAGTAGGAAACTCTTCCAGCCTTAGCCATGATGGGAAACAGACCTTCATACTTTCTAACCAAGCATTTATGAACTTTGCAGTAGGTTTTGAATTGTGAGGCAACACTTTAACAAGCACTCGAACTCCAATGGTCTCCATTTCACATCGGCCCATTTCTTCATATACTTTCGGGCTTTCTCCAAGCAAGATCTAGCTAAGTCCGCTTGGTTTTCCCATGATGTAGTCGTTTTTATTGCTCCGGGACTTTGGCTTGAATCACCAACCATAGGCAGTCTGTTTTAGCATAACGTAGGCTGGGGGATGCAGGCAGCTTTCCCAACATAGCACAGAAATGAGGTTTCTCTAAATCAAAAATTTCTATTTTGGGAAGGAAAATTAAAAAGATTGCTGTCGAATGTTTTAGGTACACAAGTAGACAACTTGGCCAACTTGTACCACTTGCAAGATAATGCTGAGAAAGCAAATTTCAATTTGGCTACTATGAAAGTGACTTGTCCATTTACAGGTGGATTGTAGAAATTTGTCACTTGATGTCAACTAATATGGTTGGAAAGTGACATACAACTTGTATATGGAAGTGTAGAGAATTACCTCTTGATCAAAGGAGGTTAATATAACTTGAAACCAATGAGGACTTTTGGATCAAAATTAATTTTAGTCATTGATTCCAAGACAGCTTGCAAGATTCTGCCTATAAATAGAAATGTGGTCTCATTTCTAAATCATATGGAATGAAGTGAGTTGAATATTTAAGAGGGATTGTAAATTTTTCCTTTCATTTATATACAAAGAGAGTTCTCCTAAAACTTACTTGTTTTCCTTGTATTTTCTATTTCAAATCATTTACTCAAAATTGTTATAATTTAGCCTCAATGGTTAAATTATTTGTGAGCGTTGAAAAATTGACTCAACATTTTCTCATGAGAGCTGGGAATTGTAAAACGTTAAGGTCGCACAGTTCTAGTTGTTCAGGTGTAGCAAAATTAGGTCCGTGATACGGCAAGATTGCCTACCTCATATTGTACTGTTGTTGCATATCTTAGTTTGCCGACTGCATGTATGGGAAAGCTGCCTTGGGGTGTCTCGGAACCTCAGGGCCTTGGGGTGTCTCGGAACCTCAAGGGTCGAATGGGCGGTCCATTACATGCGATATCAAAGCAAGTCTACTCCAAACGTTGCGTTGTTGTTTTATCTAAGAATAACAGCGTACGTTCCTACGCAGAAGATTTTGGGACCGCAAGCATGTGGCAAAGTGGTTGGCAAGCAAGTGAAAATGAGTATGGGAAAGCTTTGAAGATGATGGATGTTAGGGCATGCATTATGCAATTTTGCCTGCCGCATGAACGTTTGTTTCGCAATGGCATGATCAAAGCATTGCTGTGGAACTTAAATAGTGGGAGCATTTGTGGGTATACTTCGAATAACACGGGCCGATGCCCAAAAAATGAGGCTTGGCCCGAGCCCCGGCTCGGTTCCTCCTCGGGCTAGCTCGGGCTTTTCCAGATTGGCTTCCCTATATTTTACAAAATATGCTTCATGGACAACTCTAAGCAAAATGACAAGATTGCCTTTTTCTGGTGATAGCTTGCTGCCACCCTAGTATTTCTTAAGACTAAAACAAGAATGAATTGTCCTGCCAAAAAAATAATTCTGCACTCTTATTTTTACTTGCCTTAGTTGCGTACAAGGGTGCCACCAATTTCCGGGTAATATGATGTTCTACAGTATAGAGATTTAGCTTTGTAGTTTTCTGTTAATATGATCTAAAATTCTTATTCTACTCTTTATATGTGTATAACCGTTTTCATGGAGATAACTAAGAGTTTTACTTTGTGCTGCTTTTCTTGCAGATATTTACATGATATAATCTACATTACATGTTTTGTCCAAGTCACTTCCATCATTTCTGAAAAATTTTGGTACTTATACTTGGTGGTAAGATCCCTCTTCATTTTCACCCCCCCTAAAAACCTTATTTATTGCTCCTAAAATAAAAGAAAATAAAATAGGTTTAGCAATGCACTTAACGTCATTTTTCTCATTTTTGGGGAAAGCCAACTCGCACGGAGGCCAGGTTGTTAATACATGGTGGCCTTTCTGCTTACAAACTTCACAAGCACATGAACTAATTTTAAAGTAGTATTACCATCAGTATCGATTACAATAGATTGCATTAACCAGCAAGTTGAAGTTCCAACTTTATAGGTCTGCATATCCTAAAATAAAATCTTCTAGCAGAACTGTTGGTGGTTGAAAAGAGTAGGTAAGAGTTTTGGTGCCACAATAGTACTGATCAGCTGAGATTGTTTCTATTTCTGCTATTTTCCTGGTTCATCTGAATAAAATGAGATCTTGTTTCATGCAATATTGAGATAAATTGCTATTCTATTTTTAAAAATCAGTTGACTGAATCAGACTATTGTGATGTCTTTTTTATAGTTATCTTGAATAGTTGCATTAGTTAATTCTGTAACATGATGGGTGGCATGACTATGATAAGTCTTACACTATATAGGTGTTTGGTTGAACTACCAAGGTTTTGGCATCACAACTGTGTTCGCTGGTGTTATACAGTATAAATACTGTGCTATCATGTAATGTAGGATAGCTTTAATTAGGTAGGATGTCTGGTATAGTTAAATGTCATGACGCCAAAATTGCTTGCTTTCTTCGGAAAATGTTCGGTGGTCCATTACCATCAATCTTGAGTTTGTAGTAAGGTCTTCGGTCGAACTTAAGTTTGAAATCGTGTGTTAGTCATGATAATTTCCTTGACACGTAATCACGATCTGGAGCTGTAGGCTGATATCTTGATGCCTAGCACAGTTTATGTAGCTGGCATAGTTTGAACGAGAGTGGCTCAAGATTAGTTTAACGTGGTCAGTAATAATTAAGTTGGATGTTAGCATTTTTCTTGAAATAATCACTGCTGGATCCATTCGGAATTCTCAGTCTAAATTCTGATAAACATTTGAAGAGAGTATCAATGCACGCACATGCCGTAACTTGTAGGGAAATCTTGTTAAGACATTACACGGATTTAGTAATCTGGTTGGACATTGTTGTAACTTGATTGGATTATCTTTGCTCTGTAGATACCTGGATTCGCTGCATATCAACTCTTTGGACTTGTCAAAGGGTTTCTGCCGCATGGTTCAGACGTACTTCACTGACCCCGTTTTCTCTTTTGGTTTTCACGGTTAATATTACGTTAAATTGTGTAATTTTGTTGGGCCAGTCAGTTCTCACGGATTTAAATAATCATGCAGGGAGCGGAGGAAGATGAGAAGACACGAAAAAAGAGAGAAAAGATGGGGAGGAAGGCTTCAAGAACCAAAATGGTCAAGACGAGGACTCGATGATTGGTAGTTCATGATTACAAATGAGTCCCCGGGACCAGGTCTTGTAGTTTAAAATGTACTAGCTCTTGATCAGTTTATTTAAAAAGTAATTTTCTTTGATCCAGAACTAGTTATTATTACTTTACATCGGAACATTGTGGTGCAAGTCTTTTTTCTTTGTTACTTGTCATCTTTGCATTGTATATTTTTGCTTTTCGTCTGCACCTTTTCTCATTACGGTGGTTATAAAGGCACAGTTGTAACATGTTGCACCACATTCTCGATGTCCTCGAGCTTCGCTTATTATAGCATTTTATGTCTCTATAATTTTTTCATTGAATTTATTTTCAAACTTCTAGTTGATGATAGTTTCTGTCAAAAATATTTCATTTGCATGTTTTGAAACATTAGGAAGTTTTGGATGCACTTTCATAGATTTTTTTATTTTTTATTTTTTTTAATTCCTATTTTGAAACATTAGGAAGTTTTTGGATGCACTTTCATAGATTTTTTTTATTTTAATTCCTAAATGGATGTGCAAATAAGTTTTTTACGCACTTCAACAGATTCTTTGGATGGAAACCGTTAGAGGAGATGATATGTACTTATTAATTGAAGGTTGAAGATAAATTTCGACAAAAAATAAAAAAATAAAAAAGTTAAAAACACAAGTGATAAGACAACTACATCATAGTTTTTAACAATGGTACACATTTTAATTGCTTAAAAGATTCATAACCTTTACTCGTTATACTTACGTCTTGAGAATGCTTTCATCATATTTTTATTCTCATTATATTACTAATTAACACATCTTATTCTTGGTTCAAAAATTACATCAAGATAGACTACTTGTCCTCCATATTCTTAAATAAGCAAAAAACAAAAATAGTAAATACAAATTTAGGATTAAATATTTGTTCATCAATCATTAGAGACAAGATGTACTAATAAGTGAAAGATTAAGAATATGAATGCATAAAAAAGTTGAAAACTTCTATATGACAAAGAATAAAAGTTAAGGACCTTTAATGTAATTAAAATATAGTATATTTATAAAACAATATGGTGCAAATATAACTAGAGCTACACACAAAAACCAAAAAACAAAAAAAAAAGGATAATAATAAAATAATTTGCGAAATCACAAATCAAATCGAAATTGTTGGTTCGGGACAACGTGTACCCGATATTTTTTTCCTCAAATAACCAAATCATTTTAAAATGATCTGATTTTTTAGGTTTCGATTTTCAAAAATACCACAAAAATGGAATCGACCCTTTTTTTTAAATCTTAAATTATAAAATTAATTTTATTAACTTATAAATTTTACAATTTTCACTTTAAAAAATACCAATTCAGCAATATAAATTACAACTAACCTTTTGAAATAATCATATAAAGTCAATTATGTCATCATTACTGGCCCATGATTTTACAAGTCAACAATAAGTCCTGACCCAATATCTAAACAAAACTAAAATTATTCACAAATCACATGAAAAGAATAAAAAAAGAACATATTTTTTTACAATCCAAATCATAATTCAATAAAATTATGGTAGCAAATCAAGCCAAAGCTTCAATAGTTCTAACTTAAACTCTCATTTCTCAAACATTTGACACTTGTTTGCCACTCTTGAATGAAATGCGATTTCTAAACGCATGTTGTCTTTTGCCTGCTAGTATGTTAATTTTTATTTGAGTCGCCTCTTTCTCTATACTCTCTTGGTAAATCTTAGATTCTTATTTAAGTTATTTTTTCCATTGTTCTTTCTTTTTATTTGTAGTTTTTGAACTTATTTATACACTAAAGAGTTGTGATTTGAATAGAAAAATGATTATTTATGTGCCTAGATAATTAATGAATTTGTTTGTGGTTTGGAATGAACGAAGTACGAAGCATAATTATGAGAAAATCTATTTCCAATAAAAGTTCCCTAACTAGTATTACTACCTTTTACTTTCTTAAAGTAGTCAGAGAATGATATTCTTCTATTTCCAATAAACTTGAACTCTATTAATTTTTATACATCTAGACATATCCAATTCAGTCCCTTGGTTTTCCTCTCACTAACAAGATGAAAGGAGTTTTAACTAAATTATAATAGCAAAATGTTACCATGCTTTTATCAACCGCTATGTAACAATATGAAAAGCAAACAAGAGAAGGTAAATAAAAAAGATGTATTTATTCTATTAACATCTTTTAACAATCAACTATGAAAATAATTTATTCACGGATTTCATAGAAAATATGAATATAATTTAATATTATTAGTTCTCGTTTGAACTTATATGTTAACATGTTTTAAATATAGTATTACAATGTCGATAAGTAAACCATAGATTAAAATCGACCAAATAGCAAATTATGGTTTGATTTGAATTGAAAAAATATAACATGATTTGAGGAAAAAATATAGATTGAACCGCTCAAATTGAACCGCTCTTACCCCTAAATATATCCACTCTTTTTCGTTAGAATAATTATATCCAAATCACATTTGTAAATTGCACCAAGTTTTCAATTGTACTATAAGGTCCACTCTTTGCTTATTGAAGCCACTTGTGTCCATAACTTATTTTCAACATTCTATTAATTAGCGCATTGTCTCATATAATAATTTTCGTACAAAAAGTTCATTGGGAGGATGTAAAATGAGTTATTTGCCTATCATATTTTTAAAAACAATAGTTATAAAAGTGCAAAAAATAAAAATAAAAATAAAAATTCCTCATCTCTTCACGTAAATAGAACATTTTGACAAAAATATTACTAAGGACAAGATATGATAGTTAATGAATGGTTAAAAAAAATAAAATAAAAGGACGAAGAAGAAGAACAACTCGACAAAAACAGTTAGAAAGGCAATTATTATTAATAAGCGAAGATTGGTGATTTTAAGTAAAATTAAAAAATGTGGTATAATAAATAAAAATTATAGTGTGAATTTAATTATCCTTTTTCTTATGATATAAAATCGAGAAAATACTTCTAGATAGCCTAAATAGAAGGAAGAAAATAAACATATATTAAGGTCTTATTTTACAAAGTTACCATTCCCATGGGGAATTAAGTTATTAAAAGAATATAAAAAATTATTACCTCTAGGAGAAAAGGAATGAGTAAAAATAGATAGTCTTGGAAGTAGAGTTGAATTTACAAAAAGAATGCTAGGCATATGGTGTAAAGAAACTTTAGAAAATAAAAAAGCATATAAAATAAGAAATAATTCATTATGTTGTTACAAAGATAATGGCCAAGTTGAACAATTTGGATGCCATAAGAAGAAGTATAAACCATATAAGAAATATAAAAGAAAATTCAAAAATTACAAAAAATTTAAGAAGAGGAATTTTAAACCACACAAAAAATATTTCAAGAAAAGAAATTTGAATAAGAAATTTAAATCAAGAAATATTAAAAAATGTAGATGTTTTATTTGTAATGAAAAATGACATATTACTCCTCAATGTCCTAAAAAGAAAAATAAACAAAATATAAAAACTCTTAGAATTTATGAAAAATTTCAAGAAGATAATGACATAGAACCAATCGAATATTTTGAAGATCTAAGTAGTGAATGTAGTAGCATTTATGAATTAAATACATTCTCATCAGAAGAAGATTATGAGGAAATAGTAAATATGAATCAGGAAATACAACAATCAGAAATAGAAATAGAAACAACTGAAAAAGTTGAAGACTCTATAGAAGGTATAAATCAAGAAATTATCTTTGATATTAAAAAATACACAAGAATCACTAAGAAAATATTAGACCTACGAGAAAAAGATGTATTCCATCAAGGATTCTTAGAAATTTTACCAAGAGTAAAATAAAACATTTGTAAGTATGAATTACAAAGAAATGTCTATCAATATAGAAGATACTATAGGAAAAGCAAGAATTCCTATAATTACAAAAGAATGGTAAAACAAAAGTTATCCAAAATTTCAGAAAATATAAGAAACAAATTAAAATGTATTGAATTAGGAGGAGTCCAAATAATAGTAAAAAGATTATTTAGAAAAGGTATGAACATACCAATAGAAATCTACTGTATGGACAATAGAATCTTACAAGATCCTATAGATGCTCTATTAGGAACAGTTGTAGGAAATTTAGTGTATCAAAAGATAATATTTACAGTAAAACCAAATTATGCAATATCATTAAATGATGAATAATAATAATAATAATAATAATAATAATAATAATAATAATAATAATAATAATCACGAAATCGCAAATCAAATTGAAATTATTGATTCACGTATACCCGAGATTTTTTTTCCTCAAATAACCAAATCATTTTAGATCTGGTTTAGGTTTTGATTTTCAAAAACAGCACAAAAATCGAAACAAACATTTTTTTAAAATTTTAAATTATAAAATTAATTTTATTAATTTTATAGTTTTCACTTTTAAAAAAATACCAATTTAGTAATATAAATTACAACTAACCTATTGAAATAATCATATAAAGTTAATTGGGTCATCATTACTAGCCCATAGTTTTACAAGTCAACAATAAGTCCTGACGGATATCTAAACAAAACTAAAATTATTCACAAATCATATGAAATGAATAAAAAAAGAACATATATTTTTTGCAATCCAAATCATAATTGAAAAAAAATTACGACAGCAAATCAAACCCAAAGCTTCAAGAACTCTAATTTGAACTCTCATTTCTCAAACATTTGACAATTGCCTGCCACTCTTGAACGAAATGCGATTTCCAATAGCAAGTTGCTAGTCGTCTTTTTGCCTATTAATATGCTAATTTATATTTAAGTCGTCTTTTTCTCTATTCTTTCTTGGTAAATTTTAGATTATCATTCAAGTCATTTTTTCCATTGTTCTTTCTTTTTATTTGTAGTTTTTGAACTTATTTATACACTTGAGAGTTGTGGTTTGAATAGAAAAATGATTGTTTGTGTGTCCAGGTAATTAATGAATTTGTTTGTGGTTTGGAAAGAACAAACCACGAAGCATATTGATTATGAGAAAATATTAAAGTTCCCTAACTGGTATTACTAGCTTTTACTTTCTTGAAGTAATTAGAAAATGAAATTAGTCTATTACCAATAAGCTTGAACTCTATTAATTTTTGTACTTCTAGACATATCCTATTCAATCCCTTGTTTTTCGTCTCACTAACAAGATGAAATGAGTTTATAGCTACAATCCTGTCTTTATCAACCGCTATGTAACAATATGAAAAGCAAACAAGAGAATGTAAATAAAAAAGATGTATTTGTTCTATTAACATATTTTAACAATCAACTATAAAAATAATTTATTCACGAATTTCATAAAAAATATGAATGTAATTTAACATTTAACATAATTGGTTCTCGTTTGAATTTATATATTAACATGTTTTAAATATAGTATTACAATGTCAGTAAGTAAACTATAGATTAAAATTGACCAAATAGCAAATTATGGTTTGACTTAGTTTGAAAAATTCCAAACCGCATAACATGGTTTAAGTTGAAATAACACAAGCCGCTCAAATTGAATCGCGTTCACCCTTAAATATAACCACTCTTTTTCGGTAGAACAATTATATCCAAACCACATTGGTATATTGCACCACGTTTTCAATTGTACTATAAGGTCCACTCTTTGCTCATTGAAGCTACATGTGTCCATAACTTATTTTGAATTTTTATTTTCAACATTCTATTAATTAGCACATTGTCCCGTATAATAATTTTCGTACAAAAAGTTCATTGGGAGGATGTTAAATGAGTTATCTGCCTATCATATTTTTAAAAACAATAATTATAAAAGGGCAAAAAATAAAAATAAAAATTCCTCATCTCTTTACGTAAATAAAACATTTTGACTAAAATATTACTAAGGACTAGATATGATAATTAATGAATGGTTTAAAAAAAAAAAGAGAAAGAAAGAAAGAAGAAGAAGAACTCGACAAAAAAAGTTAGAAAGGCAATTATTATTAATAAGCGAAGATTGGTGACTTTAAGTACAATTAAAACGTGGTATAATAAATAAAAATTATAGTGTGAATTTAATTATCCTTTTTCTTATGATATAAAATCAGACATTTACCCCAAAAATGCAAGAACAGCAATAATATTACAATCTTCTTTTAGAGACTAAATCTTTTATAATAAACTCATTTACTTATAAGTAAATTTTTTAAGCTCAATCAAACTTATTCAAATTGATCCCTGAATGGCCTTTAGAAGTTAGGGTCTAATATCACTAATTTACCAAATATTTATTGAGATTTGAATTCAATCAATTAGTCGAATAATGTAAAATGCATCAATTAAAGATCCATTTGACAAGACTTTTTCTGACCGCTTTAAATAATTTTCTTCAAGTAAGTTGTTTGATTAAAATTTTTTTAGAGAAAACTTACGGCCTAAGATAGCTTCATTAGAAAGCTCTTTTACAATAAACAGAAACAAAAGCAAAAAACATACCAAACAAACCCTTATAATTCTAACAAATTTTGGATACACTTCTTTTTTCAAAACCAACATTGAACTGGTAAAAACCCTCATCATACCAAACAATGCATCATTTAAAAGAGACTGCTACATACTGTCATACTCCCCAAAAGGCCAACAATAAATTACAGACTGCTCAGCTCATACATTCAATGTTTTGGCAATTTTCAGTCAAAATCTCTTCTGCTTTCCCCTTTCACTCATTCAATGTCTCAAGGCATCAACTGAATCATGTTTTCTAATAACATTAAGGATAGAAATTACATAAATATTTACTTAATGGAAAAAAAATATTTACATCGCGAAAGTAAAATTCGAAAACATATCAACTTGAAAGAGTTAGGCCTTGTTTGGCTCCATGCAATAACAAACCTAATGTCATTCGTGGTAATGAATAAAAATAAATAAAAATACTTCGTTTACCTACTTTCATTTCAACCTTCTCTTTGGGTTTTCCACTTCTATATTATCTCGGACCAGAAAGCTCCATGCAATGAGCATCATATTCATCATCCATCGACATTGTGATCCTAAACATGCTGGAATGGTTGTTATCATTCTCGTCGTGTCCAAAGGCCATGGTAGGATGCGACTTACTATTTTCCCGGGAAAAATTGGTCGTGGTATTGATATAGTTATGGGAGGCTGCCCATTTTTCCGCAAGGCCATCTCCTTCAAGCATTCGGACAACCTCGGACATTTTGGGACGATGGGCCGGTAGGTATTGAGTACAAAGTAGAGCCACTTGCAGCATTTCACCCACCTCAATCCTGTCATAATTGATCTCCAACTCCCTATCCACCAACAATTCTAATTTCTTCTCTTGATGTATCCTCTTAACCTGCAATTGCACAAGTTCCAAGTTGGAATCAAAATCCAGTTCTTTTATCGAGTAAACTGTAATCTGCAGTTGAATGACTGTTATTATTTTCCCAGAAAGTTTGGTTTTTGGGGAACTACATTACATTGTGTACCGAATTCTGAAAGAGCCTCAAGCTTTGAACCATCCCTACGAGAAAGTGATTCAGCAAAAGAGCAATTTGTTTCATCTTCCCCATTACCAAATTATCAGATCTCCAGAGGAACATAATTTTTACAGCTAAATTAAGGCGTTCAAAAAAATTATGGTATTTCCGAACATAAAATCCTGAATATCATGACTATAGCAAAGAAAATGATGTTATAAGATGTTAATTGCTCCTTTGGCATTTCACACATTACAAAATTTTCCAATATTGAAGTACATAATGACCAAAGAAAAGACGTACCCATTCAAGTATTGCTCCTTTCTGGTTTACTGACTTCCCAAACTCCAGAGCTCTCATTCCAGTTATTAGCTCTAATAAAAGAATGCCAAATCCAAAGACGTCAGTTTTCTCAGATGACTGACCAGTCGAGAGATATTCCGGTGCAATATGTCCAACAGTACCACGAACAGCAGTTGTGACATGAGATTCATCATGATCAAGGAGCTTTGCAAGGCCAAAGTCACCAACAACGGCCTCATAGTAGTCATCCAAGAGGACATTTGCTGCCTTAACGTCTCGATGAATTATCTTCGGATCACATTGCTCATGCAGATATAGAAGACCCCTTGCAGCTCCAATGGCAATTCTCTTCCTAGTGTTCCAGTCGAGAGCTGGTTTACCTGTAATTATCAATTTAAGAAACCGGGTTTCAATATGTCAAAAAGTAAATAGTTCCTCACCAAGCACATTAGTGCACGTTTGTTATGCATTATTTCATAGTATAAAACAGTACATTGGTTTCTTATTTAACCCAAAGCTGTTTTATTCTCCCTCGCAAACGCGTCATTAGTGCGCACCAAATGCTAGCCTTGCTTCAGCCCCAACCCAAGTTGATGATACATCAGAACATAAACCAAGCGGGTAGCATTTTTTCTGATGGGGAAGAAAACAGGCATAATTACAAATTGTGGCTTACCAGCTCATCCCATTGAAAGATTAGCATAGGTATGACTATTTATTTGATTGATGTAGCCTTGGAGTTTTGTTGAACTTTTTCCTCTTTAAGATTGAGATTTTTGTGCAACGATGTTCCAGGACTCAGGTTAGAGGAACATGAAGACTTCTTCAAGAAAGAGGAAATTTAAGTTTTAATACTTTCCAATTTCTGATAAATTGCCATTTCTACTTCTATATTTGCTCACTGTTCTTAACTTACACTGGCTTCAGGCCCTGAACTAATAGAAGTAGGTTTATTCACCCCACCCCCAAGGACATAGTTACCAAAATACAGAGAGTTGACAACTACCCAACAAGAACTTTAATGGAACAAAGATTGGTATAGTAAAACTTGGTCAAATGCAAGCTTGAAAATACACTCTAACCTCTTAGCCTCGATGCCAGACTGCCGTTAGACATATAAGGATACACCAGAAGTCTCTCGTTTCGCGTGGCACAATATCCAATAATGCGGAGCAAATTCCGGTGAACTGCCAAGCTGATCAGCTCTAGTTCGGTTCTAAACTGTGATTCCCCAGTAGTTCCTGTCACATCCTTCAGTCGTTTCACTGCAACCAATGTGCCATCGCCCAACTTCCCCCGGTAAACATTCCCAAACCCCCCAGCACCAAGTATATTCTTAGAGCTGAAATTATCAGTTGCATTTTGTAGCTCCCTCAACGTGAAGCCTCTAAGGTTGCCTAACTTTACTAAATCCTCTTCTTGCATATCTGCAACAAAAACCATTTTTTAACAAAAATGGATAGAGCAAAAAAATAAATAAATTATATCATATTACATTTACACTTGACGTGAGAAGCACTCACCAGTTATGTATAGAATAGACTGTTTTATCTTCTTGTTTCTTCTCCAGAACAAATATCCTAACGCTAAGAATAAAATGGAGACAACGCTAAGACTGACTCCGAGTGCAGTTGCTAGTTTCTTGGATTTGTTTTTTCCTAGATCGTTGCATGAATGAGTATCAGAAAGATATTATGGTCTGCACTTGAACATATGCAAATAGAAATAATAATTAGGGTACCCGAAGACGTTTTTATGGAGAACGAAAGAGGATCCGCTGGGATTAATGCTGAACAATTTTCACTAGCGTGGCTTCCACAAATTAGAGGATTACCCAAAACACTACAACAAAACAATTAAAGAAGAAAAAGGGTACCAATGAACTAGTAAATTATATATTAACAAATGAATACATAAAAAGACCCACTGAATCTAAATGTCATATATGTTACAATAAGTACAGAATTCTGCAAATAAAACATACATAAATGTTTTGGTAGGAAAGCCGGGAAGAGGTCCACTAAGATTGTTGTAGGACAAGTCCCTGAAAAATTCAACAAAAACAGAACAACAAATAATTCATTTGCTGACTTCATGATTCAGAAAATGTTCTCTGTCATTGATTAAACTCTAGTAAATACTTTTGTGAGAAATTGTCATTAAGAAATGATTTAGGGATATATCAGGTTGATACAAATAAGCGTAGAGTATAATTAGGCTCTACACAGTCAAGTTAATAACTTGACTAATGTCAAAAACAAAATGTGAAGTATTATACAAAAAATACACAGAACAGTACTCACAAGAAAGTAAGTTGAGGAAGCCTGGCTAAAGATAGAGGAATAGCCCCACTGAAACTATTATTGTTCAACCTCCTGCTCATTACATGACAAACCACAACAAAAGACTATTCAAATAAAGTCAAAGAAAGAGATGGTACATGATAAAATTTATAAATAAAGTAAAATAACATAACACAATTTAGAATTTGCTAGATATAGCCATGGAAATATTTGTACTTACAGATATTGAAGACCATTCAAGAAACCAAAAGACTCAGGTATATGACCAAAAAATTTGTTATTGGAGAGATCCAGTGTGTGAAGTTTTGGAAGATTTCCAAGCTCATTTGGAATATGTCCAGAAATATTGTTATTTTGCAACAATCTGCATTACAAAAACATGGGAATTTCAGAATGGAGGCACAGAAAAATGGCTTTAAAATTCATTAAACTAATGATTTTTTTTTTTTCAGCTTTCTTACACTTGTCTGAGGTTTGTGAGGTTTGCTATCCTCCCAGATAAAGAACCCGATAAACCTTGGCTAGGAGCTCCTCTGTGTAATAAATGTTAGTAATCCAGGACAAGGAAAATAAATGGAGGGTCAATTTTGTATCTGAAAACACTGAAATTAACTTAAAAACATAACGACTTACAGGGCAGTGACAACATTATTAGAGTTGCAAGTTATCATAGACCAGCTACATGGATCCACCGAGTATTCATCCCAGTTGCCCAGAACTCCATGAGGATCATTTAAAGCATCTCTTATAGCAATCAAAGCTTCAACTACAACCCACAAATAAAAAATCAATTTAGTGTAGAAAACTTTACTTTTATGAAGTTCTTTGTATATAATAATATAGTGGGTACCTTCAGGATTGCGGCTCTCATAAGAAAGAGACAGACTCAAGAAAACTGATAGCATAGAAAGGAGGACGAAGGTCTTGCTCGAAATCAGGAACATGATTATCTAGCGAAAGTTATGGATTAAACACCTGATCCAGTGCTAAGAAATCAATAATAACACTAATGAGCAAAACTCGACTTCAAGGATTCCCTCTCAATGCAAGACCTACACAGCCAATAAATACAAGGGTATGATTAAGGAAACTCTGGGAAAGAAACAACAAGGACGGGAGTGACTTACAATTGTTTCAAAAAGAACATGTATGGAGTATTCTCTCTCTCTTACTCATAAACAAAAACTAGCTCGCGCTCTCTTCTTATTACAAAGAGGCCATCTTTTACTGTATTCGAACTCCCTTTTTCCCGAGTATTTTTACACTGTTTTTTTCTTCTCCAGTTGTTATCTTTATAAATATGTAGTGAACACCGGAACACTGGGGAGAGAGAGGAGTTATAATGAAAAAAGTGCCTGTTGTGCTTCTGTACCTAAAAGTGTCTGCATATGGATATGAATGTTTCTTTGTTTCACAACTTTTCCTTTTTAACAATCTTCTTTTTCTTTCCTATCCCCATTCTTATAATCTCTCTAAACTATTTACATAATATTCTGAATTTCTTTTACACAACTTTTGTATTGGTCTGTGGGGTTTTCTTCTTTTCATTCAATTCATTTAAGCTTTTGCTTTTTCTCACTTTTTTAGTTTTCTATTTTTCTGCTACTGTGTGAAAGAGAGAGAGAATCAAGAGATGTCAGTGACAGACAGGGAGAGATTAGAAGCTCAGAATATGAGAGTGACTGCAATTTGCCATGGGATCAATTCCCTCTCTGCAAACACCCTAAACCATCCTTCTCTATCTGATCAACCAAGAATTATCAAGAGAGAAAAATGGTGGTAGTTTTAATGAAATGAAAAGATCATGTGGAAGAAATTGGGTTTCGGGAATTGATGTGATTCAAATCCCAGTCTCTAAAAAGATTGGACTACACAGGGCAGTGCCACTCTTCCAAGTTACCAACGCCCCTCATCATTATAGCTCCTCTTGTCTTTTCTTGTTTCTTCTTTTATCTTTTTTAGATAAATAAAAATAATTGTCTTGACTCATTTCGATAACCGATAAAAATAATTGTCTTGACTTATTTCTTGTAGTTAAAAGCATTATTGTTATCAACATGGAAACTATCTTAGTCCATGATGGGTTCCACTAAAAATTCAATTATGCTACCATGTATATTCTTTTTTATATTATTAAGTTTGACATCATTCCACGTGTCATCCATCAAAATAATTGATTTCTACAACACCTTATAACATCACTGCAAAGATTTTGATACATAGGAAAAATGTCAAGTAGAATGTAAACAACAATGTACATGTAACTTAATTCCTAAAAATTTAGCTCCTGTTTGGTAATTATTCTTTCAAAAAAAAATTATACTCATTTTTAATTACACGTTTTTAAAATAAAATACTCTTCAAGTGAACTAAATTTTTTTCCCCCTTTTCAACATATATTTTTCCGAAAATTACTATTCAAAAACTCATTCTTCCAAAAAAAAAAAATGAATGTCAAACAAAGCCTTATGTACAAGTAGCATAATCCTAATTTTAATTACACATTTTATGATGTTCATGAAGTTTTAATCACATATTTTATCAACATTTATCAAAATCTACTAAAAATTCAAATTTTATCTAATCAAATAAGGGCTTATTAGTCTTGTTATATTAAACTTATTCAAATCATACATTCTTTCAATAAAATAATTTTACACGTAAATTCAAATATTTTTTATACTTTTCACTCATATATTTTTCAAAAAAAATCATTTTACACAATTTATTCTTATAAATGGGCTCAAAAGGGGACTCATTGTAATTACTAGGAATTTAGATAGTTGAGATTAAATCAACAAAAAGTAAAATTTAAGAAATGGGAACCAAATAAGGCTAAAATATCATTGCGTATAATCAATGCAAAAAAAAAAAAAAAAAAACAAAAAAAAAAAAAAAAAAAAAAAAAAAAAAAAAAAGGGGGATACAATTGAGCCAACTTTGAATAGTTGGGAAAGTCGCTAATAACGCTAGATTGGGAGTTAATATATTATACATTTTTAGGGAAAAAGCGCCAATAAGAGGATAATAATAATAAAAAGGTTGAGACACTATCTAATAGGCAATACCTCAGGGACGAATAATTCTTTTGGTGGTGTTATTCGATTCGACATCACATTATTCATCCTTCAACTTTTTGAAATATCTATTTTCTACAATTTTGAATTATCTAGACTTTTTTTTTTTTTACAGAATCTTTATGTCCATCCTGTATATTGTCGTTTTCGCTCTTTTTGGGAACGTGATCTTGAATTGGAAAAAGCCATTCGAACAGAGCATGTTCAAACAAAGTGCCGATGTGGTGCCCCCTATAGGCTCCGACAGGCACTTCGTCTATAGGGGGCGTCTATACGGATAAGGTCGACGTGACCTTCTCCGTTATATTCATTATTAGTTAGTTGTTAGACGATTTTTCATTTAAGGAAAAAAAAAATTCTTTCTAGGAACAAACAAGTACTATATTTGAAAAAAAGTCAATAATTAATTTTAACAACATATTTCATGTGATCTACAAATTTTCAACGATATATTTTATCAATTTTTTATCAAAGTTTACTAAAAATTCGATTTTAATTCCTATCAAATAAGGCGTCACGCAGTGAGAATGCTTATCTTTCCATTCTTGGTGTGCGTTTGTCCTAGTTATTTATTTTTTATGTTTTTACGACCGTGAGTGTCTAAGCCAATTTACGCTCATCTCGACTAATTCCACGGATTCATGAAGTTTACAGCAGGATACTCATCTCAGTGATCCTAAAAGGACGCGAATTTGTGACTATTGTGGAGCAAACTTAAGATCCGACCACTGATCTACCCTTCAAGGTTACGTCTATGCTAGTTATTCAAGCTTGTCGACCTAAGAGTTAGGGAAAGACAACATTGAGGTGTGAAATCTCGAGAGCCAAACCCGTGGACCATGAAAGTTGGATTTAGAATGAAAAGAAATACCATCATATTCATATATAGTGAATCTCACCCGAAATTTTCACAAATGAAAATTATTATTACACTTATTACAAATTAATAATGCTAGTGAGTGGATTTCTATGTTTATTTTGATAGGATATAAGATATTTAATTAAAGAATTTTGGATCGAATGATTATTCTTCATCTATTTTATTTATGCAAACAAATAGGGGGAAGAAAATCTTATGAAAATTGGTTTGGGCGCGTGCTCGGCTTGCGAATTTGGAGCCAATTTTACAAATTGGTCCTTGAACTTATCTCCCAAGTAATTTTGGATCCTTTTCACTCTTTTTCATTCCGTTGACTTTTATTCATGTCCAATTGAGTCCTAGCACTCCCACTTATTTGTTTTTCGGTCCAAGTCAACTTTTGATTAATTACACTTTAGTCCCTAAATTTCAATTTTTTTGTGATTTAGTCATCTTTTCTTCATTTTTCCTCCAGTTCCACCGTTGTTATCAATTTGTACCTAGCAAACATAATACACATATAATTAAGCCATAATTCATCCAAATGACCATCAACTATCCCGGTTTAACAATATAAATAAGTGTATAAAATACAATTATCAAAAGTGGAAGTAGTAATCTCAATAATCATCATTCTATTTTGGTAAAATGTTCTTCCAACAATTTATAATTAAAATGTATTTTCTTGGTCTGGACATCATTTTGTTAAGGTTTTGAATTTTTTGAATTTTTATTTTTTGGTCTAACTCGTTGATTGCTTGCTTATGGAATGTTCAGAAGCTACAAAAAAGGGAAAGTAAAAACAAATAAGACATACTCCTTTGCATACTTGCCTTGCCATTCTCGTTGTTTGAGACTTGAAGTGAACTTACATCCTTTTTTTTTTTTCTTTTTAATAAGATATCAAATGCTTTAGCCTCCGTTTAGCCCACCATTTTGGGAAATAAAAATGGGTGGAATAATATTTTTTTGAAAAAATGAATTGTTGAAAAAAAAGGAAAAGTCTTCGATTTATGTGTAATATTATTTTATGGAAGATTGTGTAGTTGAAAATATGATAGAGAAAAATGAAATGTAATGGAATTGAAATTAATGGGGGCCAAATAGGGGCTTAATATTTTTACAATTTTTTTAAAAGTTTGATTGTGACATCTAACTTAAAATGTTTGCGTCTACCACTGCGCGCATATGAAGAAAATATAATTAATATAGTTGAAAACATAAATTTCTCTTGTAGTCTTCCTCGTATATTTCTACGCTAAATAATGGTTTAAATAGAATTAGTCTATGTGCTTGCTTGGTAGGGATGTTAATAATTGATTTTTTGATCGTTAGAGATAAAGTAGGTCATATCTGTGAGAGAATAATTCAAAAATGACGGTTGAAATAGTGAAATAACGGTCAAAAAATTAATTTTAATTAGATTAAAATTTCTACCAAACATGCTCTATATTTGTTGATAACAAGATACATTGAATAGGGATTAGAAAACTAAGCCCCCGTTTAAGTCCCATTATTTCTCATTACATTAAATTAAATTTTTCTATCTCCTACTTTTAACCACACAATCTTCAATAAAATAATATTACACGTAAATAAAAAAAATTTCAACCACTCATTTTTCAAAAAAATACTATTCATCTCATTATAATCTACAAATAATATGGCTCAAACGACCCCTAAAAAATATTTATACTTTTAATAAGAAAAATTGCTCATAATTTAGGATAGACAAAAAGGAAATCGAGTGTGTCTTTATGGAACGAAAGTAGTGCATTAATAAGTGGAAGTGTTGCATGGGAATTGGGAAATCGAAATCTTTGTGGAAGTGCGTTTATTCTTTCATGCGGATGTGGTAGAATTGATTCTTCCATTCCATCATGGTTTTTTGCTATTTGAAGTGGATAATTTCAAATTTTAAAAGCGATATAAAGCATAAAGCCAATTCAAAAGCAAAAGTTGCCATCGCCACCCGTGCCTTCCGATTCTTATCTAATCTATTATTTTTGGCTTTCTACTTATTTTTACTGTTGCTTTTTTAATTTGATTATGAAAAAGAAAGCACGTGCATCTGTATAATATTGGTACGAACGAGGGTGGAATCCAAAACCAAAGGAGATTAATGGAATTTATTAATAAAATTGTACTGTAAATTCAGTGTTATGATTAGCAGTGTATATCTTGATATCATTAAACAGAGATAGTTGTAGACTGACCTCTAATAGTTATTAATTAACTATTCCAATATTTCTCACCCAATCTTGCTATTGTATACATAAAATGCATAGCATGAAATTGGAATGGTCTAAATGCAGAAGTTTTGTTAGACATTTTGAATAAACAATTTATTTGATTGAGTTACAGATAGAACTTATTGGAGACATAACCGTTTTTAATAGATATCAATGTCAAGTAAATGTTTAATCTTTTAACTTACATATCATGTAAACTGCAATCCATAGATAGCATTGGAGATGCTCTTATATGCTCAAGGTTTTAGTAAAATCCGACTGGGATTTTTTATTCCCAACAAAATTCCATTCCGGGGTAGATAATGGGTTTAATTTTTCCACTGGTCGAGCCAAACTCACATTCTACAGTTATTGGACAATGATAAGATCTGGGATATGGGCTTCTGACTATATTAACTAATGAGGATTGTGACCGCCATAAATCAAAGGTTTAGGATTTGTGTGCAAAAAATACCGAGGATAAAAGTGCAAAAGACGTGGTTGGGGAGGGCTGCTGCAATTTTTCCGAATGAAAATAGGTTTGAAAAAGTAAAATCATTTTGAAATGAATAATGGTATTTGCAATCGCTCACTGCGACAGTCGTCCTACGTGGTATACACATGGCAGGTGGTTATTTGATGTACTAATGAATAAAAAAATTACCACATTAATACATCAAATAATCACCTGCCATGTATATGTTACGTAGGATGACTACCGCAGTGAACGACTGCAAATAGCATTACTCGATTGAAATGCCTAATGTTGGTTATTTAGTATTTATTAAGCCCCCTGTTTGGCTCCCATTATTTAGATTTATAATGGGGGAATAGTTTTTTTTTTAAAAAATGGATGGTTGTAAAATAATGAAAAGTTTTTGATTTGTATGTAATATTATTTTATTGAAGATTGTGTAGTTGAAAATAGAAAAAAGAAAAATTTAAATTGAATTGATAAGTTTTAATGAAGGTCAAATGGGCGCTAATCAAAGTAAAGTGTCAAAATTTTAACGGGAAAGACGGTGAGTAAAGATGTTGAATTTCTTACAGATAAAGCGATGGAACATTTAAATAGGACAATACAGAACTTCTAGGACATAGCAGCATATTAAATTTTGAGAATAATCTATTCCTGAATTCTTGCTTCTCATGGATGGGTTCCCGTTTTTTAAATTTAAATGATACCTATAATTTCAGTAATGTGGTTATGTAATCAGGGGCGAATCCAGGATCGAAGGTCAGCTAGGGCGGACCGTTGACCTTTGACCTTTTAATCATGAATAGGTGGAACATTCCATATTACATTACAGTTGTACAAGATTAAATTCCTCTCCTCTCCTCTACCAACCAAAAACTAGGCAACATTGGGAGGCAATCAAATATATGAGGCCAAGTTAAAGCTTTTATCTAAAACTTCTCAGTGTGAGAAGGAAATTTGAATTTTATGCTCAACTTCTAACTCATTGAAGTCAATGTGTATTAAAAAGAAACAAATAATTCATCCTTTGGATGCAGAGACTCTAGAAGAAGGTCACAAATTTAACGGCATTCACAGTGAAGAACTGAATAAGTAAAAAATGAAGCCACTAGTCCTAGCTCACTTGTGCTTAGGATTTAAATTGAGAAAAATTAAAATCGGTATGGTTTTTTATCCCATAATAATTCAAATTCCACATTAAATCCATCATTAGGGAAGAGCTTTTAAAATCCATACTATAAATGAAAAGCTCAACTATAACTTTCATATGACACTAGTTCATGAAAATTTCGACTACATATATATAGAATAGTAGCATGAGATTACACTTGCAGCCTCGAAATTGTATACTCAAAAAGTCATTTCAAGCAATACAACACACAACCACCTTCCTGGTTAACTTAATATTTGGATTCTTAGATATTTTAATGAAACGATTCTAATTTGGGATCCACTCTCCAACTCTTGAATCCAAATAAACCATTCTAGAGTCACCTATTACACTCAACTTTTTTTTTTTTTTTTTTAATAATCCACCATGTTGAGCAATCCAAAATGGTGAAAGTAAAACCATACTTCATTTCATTCACAACACACTCAACAGAAAACAGAGGGTTTGCAAATTGCAGTTGCACAAGCACAAATCGACAAATCAATTTGAATTGTTGAATTGCAAATTGACAAATCAACAAAGGGTATGCACAAATCGACAAATCAACAAAGGGTTTGCAAATTGCAGTACTCAAGCAAGACTTCAAGCATTCAACACTTCAAGTTATTCAAATTTCAACTCACCAGATCGTCGCCTCGCGGCCGTGGGCTCGCCCCTGATTCTGAGTCCCTGACTTCGCACACCAGGACACAGCCAAACCGTCCACTGCCAAACCGTCCACTACCTCCAGCTGCTAATTCTGCTGTTCTTCATCTCTGCTTCGAATGGAAATATGGAAATTTCAGGGTTTGCTGTTTGAACTTTGCTTTCGCCTGACTCGCCTACCGGTTTCAAATGGAGGAAATGAGAAATCAAATTTAGGTTGGGGGAATTAGAAATCAAATTAATACCACTTTGTTGCCGGATTCAATATCCTTATTAATTTGGGCCTAATTTTTTTTTTTAAAAATGGCCCAATCTCTGGCAGATCAACCCAAACGAATAGAAAAATTTTGGAAATTTGAAGTCTTCTTCTCCAGCATCACAGACTCCTGTTCGGCTTCTTCTGCAAATCTCCCTCTGCTGCGCCTGCACGGCTGCCACCAACTCGGCGGCCATTGAAGCTCCCAGGGGATCTAGCATGGGCGGCCGCGAGGGCTCGCCAAGTGCTGGATCCCCCCCTGTATGTAATCGATTCCTTGTTATTTGCATGGTATCACCCAATTTTTCCTCTCTATTTTGATTGATAATAAATTTCGGGTCGTTCATTTAAATTGCATAATATAAAAATTATAAGATCCCCATGGTATATTTCAAGTTTTGGTTTCAGATACAGGTATAATGCCCCCTATTCGGTACATTGGTCAATGTTTCATGATTATCTTGTCCCATATGAATCGTTTACCGACAACTATTCAATAGCCTTCAAAAAATTGATCACTAAATGTTGTCGATGATGAATTCACTTTAAATTTGAAAAATGCATGACTTGTGAAGTTTTTTTTATTTCTATTCAATTGGACTAGGGGTGTCAACGAGTCGAGTCGAGCCGGCTCGCAAGTCAAAACTCCCGACTCGGGCTCGACTCGAACTTTTTTAGGCATTACTTTTTTTTACTCTCTCTCTCTCTCTCTCTCTCTCTCTCTCAGCTACCTATTTGGCAACTAAAAATAGTTGCCTGTTGAGGCCCCTTGATCATAGGGATCACAAAAAAATTCGTTCAACCCAATACCCGTGAGACTTCGAATAGGGCGGGAATTACCCGCCTCATCGGGTAAATGGGATGGGTACGTTGTGAGAGTTATTATCCCGAAATGAGTACAAGAAACATAGTCCTCGCCCCACTGCCACCTCGTTTAAAATTAATTTCAAATTTAAGTTTTTATCAAACAAAAATAATAGATTTATCATCATTTTTAAAGAGAACATAAGTTGTTTTTAACAAATTGGTAAAAAAATAATAATATTTACTAATTAAGGACAAAAAAAATAAAATAAATAAAAAGAAAAAAGTAATTGGGGTGATAAATTAGGCAAGTGACCCCCCCCTTCTTGCCCCATCCCGCTTTAATCGGGTATGGTTATGGGATACCCGACGTGACAGGGGGTGGGAATGACCAATTTGTTCCATACCCGCCCCTTTGTCATCCCTGCTTGACTGGCAGCAAATAGCTCCATGTTGAAGTTGCTATTTTAATTTTATTTTTTATTTTTCTTTTTAGGGCTGCTTTTTTTTTTTAAATGGACTGGCCCGAGCTCGAGTCTACTCCCCGAAATGGGCTTGGCCCTCCGAGTCTCAAAGCCTGGTGCGCTCGAGCTTTTTTTGGATTGAGTCGATGAGCCAAGTTGCCATTTCTAGGTTGGACTAGGGAAAGAATTAACTAGTTGGACTAGCTACTTCTTGGCCCAAAATCTTAGCTTGAAAATGGCCCTAATCAAATTTTATTAGAAATAGAACACTACTTTTACGTTTTATAATTTTCAGATTGAATTTTCTTTTATTACTTTTTGATAGATACACATACGTTTATTAAAAATCTTAAAAAATAATATATTTGACAAGGCAAAACAGCTGTAAAAGAACTCCATCATACTTATTGACAAACTAATAATATATCGACAATCTACAAATGCATGAAGAGATGGATTCTCTTCATTAATTAATTTTACATATCTCATTCATTATATTATCCAAATATTCAATTTTCGATCAATCTTATCCATGAAAACGATTTTTCTTGACCATTATTTTGACTAGAATTTGATTTTTCGACACTCAAGAATATAAGGAGCATTGAAGTATATAGTTTGCCTCAAATCAAATTACTGTCATTGTGTGACACGAGACACGATACTCCTATACACAACCTTTGATTAAATTGATGAATATTATTCAAAAAAAAAAAAAAAAAAAATCCTACTTGAACTCTGATATTATCATTTTGATAATAAGGTCTAGTGCAGTTGAATTTTGATTTATTTATTTATGAAATCAAGCTCAAACAAAATTATCTAGTTTCTTTTAATTCAATGATTAGCATATATAGATAAGTTGATTTTGTCTCTAAATGTATAGTAGTGTATGCTGAGTTTGTGTCTATCTGGATGCACGCGATAGCTCAGGTCAAATGACTTATTTTAAAATAAATATTGGATTACAGCTAAATAGTAAATATTATAAACCCAGATAGGACAATTAAAGATACGGTGGAGATACGTTTATTTAGCATAGAGACACACTTCAATATTTCTAAATGGAACATAGAGATCGTAATGCATTTCTTCGGGTGGTAGAACATTGTAGAGAGTAAAAACCGCAATTTTATGACAAGAAACTATAGGTGATAACCAATTAATTATAGATTATTTTTTTGTATATAACTATTTTAACGTTAGATATTTGTATTGATCAAATCTGGATCGTCCTATTAAAACAGCCACATTCATCCATTCAAAATGGCTTTGTTTATAGATGAATACTCATTTGTTCCTAACGAAGTTATACATTGTACAATTATCTCAAATATATAATACAAGAATTTTATTTTATTTTATTTTATTTTTTTTCAAACTCTCTTGTGTTGTTCTTAATATTTCTATCATTTGCTAAATTTTTGTACACAAAATGTCTCTAGGCTAAGTTCACCAAGGATGAAAATTTGTTGAGACGATAAAATTGCACAATGCTTAAACTCTACAAATCTATAATAGCTAGTATCAACTTAAGTGGTTCGCCTAAAAAAAAAAAAAAAAAACACTTTGCAAATTGAAAATTAATTATTGATATTTAATATAAGGATCAACAAGCCTAAAACAAATGCACAAAACAACTTAAAATTGGGAGAGAGACTCAAACTACCTAATTTCTCTCCATTTATTCCATAGTACTACACCTAAATAGAGACTACCAAATTTCATTAAACAGACTAACAGTACTGGGTGTACAGAAATTTGGTTCACAGAATACTCACAATAGGGGGTGGTGAGTTATTTTTTTGGCATTTTTTTACTTCACCATGTGATCCATGTGAGTGTCTGGAGGAATTCTGTGAAACATCTTTCTGTACACATATAGCATTTTAATTAGACAGATTGTCAAAACTAGCTGAACATGTTCATATTATCTTCTCCCATCTAGGCTGATTCCACACAAGAGAATGCCAACACCGCAGTACCACCCACACCTCCCACTTCAGCCTCCTCCTCCGCCACCTCCTTCCAACATTGCAAAACGGATTTGTTGGGATTGAGCACCCCACAACCCCTCGACTTGGCTGTAAAACTCTGATACACTACGCACTTGCCACCTAGCAAACGACGCATCACCCCACTCACACATGTGTAACCTTCCATGTTGTCGACATAGAACTCGTCAACACAAGCATATTCTGGCAAAGTTATAGCTATGGTAAAATCAACTGGCTCAAAACACCTCAGCACCCTCTTGACCAAATGCTCAAGCCTAATGGACCCCCCAAAGTCCACTCCCATAGCTTCGTAGCTTGCATAGCTAAACCCATTCTCTGGAGTCACGTGCACTGTAGAATAAGCTGCACCCTCAATCCCATTCATCGAGTACCCACACGGGTCAAACTCAAAGTCACAAATCTGATGACTTGGAATTATCTCATTGATTCCAGACTTTTTCTTCATTTCACCGTTGACTGCGTTGTCTCTTGATTCTTTGAAAAACACAGTCGCTTTTTTCCTATCCAGCCCCGTCATGCACATTTCCAGATTAATCTCAGTTTTTGAATTAGTCGACGTCTTAGGACCAATTGATGCCACGTAGACATGCCAATTTCGGTTCGGGAAAATGGGATCGCCGAGTAAATAAGCACTGCCTTCTTTGAAAAATGAGTTCAAAAAAGTCACTTCTTCTGTAAAGCTACGATGAGGGGCAGGTTGGATATTTTTGAAAATGAATGTGCCACGTGAGTAACGGACCGAGTTTGGACAAAGTGATAATGACTCAGCAAGTTTCAAGATTTCTGGGATGGACAGTAAAAGCTTTGTGGTCCCACATGTTTTGAGAATGATCCTCAAAGGGTAAACGAACATACTCGATTCAGAGAGAACATATGAGTCGAACTCAGTATTAGAGAGTTGTGACACAATCGTGCAACATGCGGGCTCGAGTATTGAATCGAGTTGGGCTCTAGTTAGGGCGCGTAGACCCAGCATATTTGGGTCCATAAACATAGGTGGCTCAGAAAATGAGATTTCAAGGCGCTTCTCAAAGCCCTCGAAACCGATAGGCGAAACTGCCATTAAATTTTTTGGGCAAAATATACTTTCCAAAAGGTGAAAATGAAGAACTTAGAAAGTAGTTAAAAGGATTTCTGGGACAAAAAAGGAAAAAATCCTACTCTACTGAAGAGTCCATTCTGCGATGATAAACGTATCAGGATGGTTTCCTCGCACACTGCCATGGCGGAAAAACAAGAAAAGAAATACATGATCATTTTCAATGGAAAATACAGAATTATATATAATATATATATGAATGAATGAAAGAAAATTGGTAATGTCCTTACGTTGGAGTATGCAGCAGAACGGAATTTCTGAATGCCTCCGTTGGGACGAACTTCTTCAATGATGTATCCAAGGGGAACTTCGTACTGGATTCTTGAAAATTTCTTTTTGCCACCTTTAGTTTCCATTACAACATCAATGCTTTCTGCAAATCATTAACCTAAAAACAAACCAACAACGTAAATTTTAATGATTTCATCGACACAAAGAATCAATAGAAACCCAGTCAAGAATTATTTCATAACTCATACTCACGTTTTATTATGAAAAATGGCAGAGCGTAGAATAAATTCTTGCTTTGTTTCTTGGATGAAATATCGAGAACAGAATTAGGTTGTGAGAGGCAAAGAGAAAGAATAGAAAAGAGTCTGTCTGTGGAGGAGATGATAGAGCGGAGAAGACTGCATTGTATTTATAGGTGGATAACGGGGTGGGGAC